CCGGATTGTTGGGGGCAATATGCTGACTCTGTAAACTGCTTAGAGAGGGCTGAAATCCCTATGAAGCGGTATATAAGTCTAACCATTATTGCTATTGTACCCCCCTTCCCTGATTTGAATTGTGAGCCGCCCTGAGTCCCCTTCGGGGGAAAAAGGCAGCATATAAATATAATAAAATCAATCAAATAAAATCAATCAATCTATTGCTATTGGAAGTCAAAAGAAAATAAGAATGTCAAATAATGTCATATTTTCAGGGAAACATGGTATTATTGCAACCTGTGGGTAGTGATCCTTTTATTTATTGTGATTGGTCAATGTAATAGCAAGTTGACACTGTTTTATCAACTTACTCTTTGAATCAATTTAATGATTCATATCAAAACAATGCTTTATACTGAATCAAGTCAAGTAGTTGATTAGATATAAATCAAGTTAAATAAATGATTCCAATCACACCTATAATCTAAATAAGATCTAGTCTGACTTTCAAAATACCCACAGTGCAATAGTTGCAATGACACACATTATTGCAAAATTAAATGTAATTCATAAAACTATGAAGATACTAGATTAGGAAGTGGCCTGTATAGCACTATTCCTATATTTCCATTGGCTATGTTCTCATATCAATTGTTCATTTCATCAAAAGAGAAGATCAGTAAGATATATGGTACCTGCCAGGCCTCTTGATTCACAGTCACTAGTCTCTCATTGGCTGCCCTAACTTTATATTTGAATCTGGGCGAAAGAACGGCTCGCAATGCATTTCCCACAGCATAGACTGCATTATAGATGCTGTAACTTTGCCCAGTCATGGTGGTATCAAAGATAGCATTAGGAAGACTCTCCAAATTCTCTTCTCCAGTGCACATTATCTCAATGTCCTTATCCAAACTGGGGAAAGAACACAAAAATGCCTGTTCCCAGAACAATCTTGTTAAATGGTCTTCCTTTTCTGCAGTTGGCTTTCTCGTTTGTACAAAATGTTTGAACCCAGAAATCTCCTTGGAGGACACTGCAAAAGAAATGGCCCCATGGAAGAAATCCATTCCTCGCATTCTTTGAAAGGAAAGGGAGGTGAACTCCATCTGGGCTGTCATTATCCAAACTTTATCTTTCCTCTGGATTGGTATCTCTTCAAAATCTGAAGCATAGGGGAACATTCTGAAAATGACCGTGACCTGGTTTTCACAATGTAAGATCACAACGTTGGAAGTGCCGTTCATGATAACCACGAACATTTTAATCAATTCACGAAATGTAACTAAAATGTCGTCAGAAAATGTCTCCATGGCCAACTGTTCCATGAACTCAAAGCACACCCCTTTCTGGGGAAACGTAGTGACAGCATTCTTTACAAACCTCTCTCCACTCTCGGTACGTTGAAAAACCAGCCCAATCCATTTCCACTTTAAATACAATAGCAGGCTGAGAATCCCTTTAATCTCAATGCTCTGATCTGGGAAAACTTGATGAAAGAAAAGAGCATGTATATTGTCCTCTTTTTGGGGGGCAGGTCCATAGAGGAGCTAGATAAATGAATTAAACAGATGATAGATGTCCAAAATGCAATACTGATGTTTTTCCTAAACATTTATGAGTTTCGGTATTTGAAATTAAACATTATCATATGTCCAGCCCAGAACTGAGGACATCTTTTTTTAATGTATAAAAGCGAACATTATTACAAAGCCATAGTTCTAGATTTAACAAATAAGTTCTTCATTCTTGATGCAGGAAAGATTATAATGAAACTGCATCACACTTGGTAAAATTTTGTTGGGCCTAAATAATGGAATACAAAATTATCTTCTCCTTCATCTGGTTCCCTGCTTATATGCCACAGCATAGAGGAGGTAGATAAATGAATGAAACAGATGAGGGATGTCCAAAATGCAATAGTCATGTTTTTCCTAAATATATGTGAATCACAACATTTCCAATTAAACAACAACATACCTTCTGTCTAGCCCAGAATTTGATACAATTTTTTTTTCCCCAATGCATAAAAGTGGAGATCAAAGATATAGAACTAGACTTAAGAAATAAATTCTAAATTCCTGATACAGGAAATGTTGTAGTGAAAATTGACTACATTTTGAAGTCCTATTTCCCCTGAATAATTGTACACAAATTAGTTCATCGTTCATTTGGGTTCCTGCTTATATGGTCCAGCGAAGGAAGTTAGAAAATCAAAGAATGGCCATATAAAGATCAATGCAACATCATTGTGTTATGTTCAAGTAATTGCTCCTAACTAATAATTTTCTGAATTGCTAAGTCTGGTTTCTAAATCCTTAATAGTCTCAATATTAAAATATAGTGAAAACAAGTTAAGATGGTCCACATTTTTATATCAGTGAAATGTTTATGCCATATGTCAGTGAAATTAAAATGTTTAGTATGGATTTGGATACAAATTTAGGCATTGATCAAAAGCATGCACAAAATAAATAACTAGAAATATCCTTGCCTCTTTATTCATGTTTTGAAATTACAACAATTTCCAAGTCAACTTAATATAAGAGAAAAAATAGTTTCCTTCCTCATTCCCTCCACCCTCCCTCTTTTCTCTTTTAAGTAGAACTTACCTGGGGCATCTTGTAAATATTCAGAATGTTTGACATAAAGGAACAGATGTGAGAGTTAGGTCCTGCAATAACAGATGTTGCCATATCCTTTACATCACACTTATAGTTAGGAATCAATCTGTCCTGTGTGGAGAGAAGCTCAATTGAAGCAAAAGTGGTCCCTCTTGCAGTGAAATAACTATCAGAAATAAGAATCCCCAGAGTTATGTTAGCTAACATGAGGGTCTTTTCATTGATTTCCTTTACAGCAAAAATTAAAACTAAGACATGGTGGTAATTCTGTAGGAAAAACCTGCAGTGAGATGTTTAAAAAATAAAAACAAAATTCACATATTTTATAAGTCAGCTGAAGACAATGAGCCAAAATAAATGGACAATAGCAAACATACGATATGTTTTTCACAATAGAGAAAAACATACGAAGAGATTTGAACTCAGACCTGATATCTTTACTGTTTGAATACCAAACCAAACCAATCACATCACATCACATCACATCAGTAATTTGCAGCTTATAGATGTGCCAAGATACACAAATATGAAAATGGATGCTATACTTCTGTGGCAAGTGGAATTGAAATGTTTCCAAAGCCATTTCAGGATTTCTCATGAATTTCAGGACAATGAATGGTGGTGTGATGAAGAGGATGGGAAACTCTTTACAAATGGTGCTTAGTTTTAAAACCCTGTTCAGCTATTATAAATAGTTTTCAATAAAGATACATTGGTTAAGAAAAGAAATTTTCACCAATAATATTAAGATATTCAGTTAGTAGACTTAATAGTACTATTTCCTATTATGGAATCATTAAAACCTTAAATGTTGGCTTTCAGCTATTTGCAAAAATGGTCAAATAAAATGCATCATTCATGATCTACAGAAAGAACAATTGGCAAAAAAACATCAACCAAATATGAAATATATAGACCTCTAAATTTAGAAGTAATTAAAATGAAATCACTGTGTTTAACTTTGGTCTCCTACTTGGAAAATGTTGATGTTGTTGAGACCAATGGCAGTGGCCATCTGCATCCATGAAAAAAAAATCTGAATTGATAAGAAATAAAACTGATACCCCTATTGATAATAATAATAATAACATCTGGCAGAGTCTGCAAACAACAACAACAGCAACAACAATAATAATAATGCAGTAATAATGTGGCAATTGGGACAAAGGCTTCCCTTCAGTTCGGTACTCCATTCATTCTTTACTAAAGTTATTATAGTATAACACTTTTTATTAAATACAGAATCTATCTATATCTGTATCTATCTAAATCTTTATCATCTATCTATCTATCTATCTATCTATCTNCTCTCCCTCTGTTTATGCAGCCTAGAACTGTGTTGTTTTTGTTGGCAGGTACAGCACACGGCTGGCTCATATTTAAACGACTCTTCACTAGTACTCCAAGATCCCTTTCACAGTTACTATTATTGAACTCACATATTTCTTTTTCTTTTTAGATATTCCAAACCAAATATATGCAAGCAGTTTGTTGGTGCATGGAGACATTAAATGGCAATTCTAAATAATATACTTATTTCTCTGAAAGACATAGATGTAAAGATCTAGCAAGTTCCTCTCTATTATTGGATCCATATATAACTCTTCGGTGGCATGCTTCCTACAGAAAAGCTTACGTACTTTGTAAGAAGTTTTAAAAAATCCTAAATAGACCCTTCAATATGGTGGTTTTGATTGAGCAGTCTGATAAAATATCTGAATGTACTCTACCAACAAATTAAGGAAAAGACCCTGAAGTGGACAAAATGGAATAGGGACAATATTTTTCAATTGGATGAATATAGTATGCAAATGTATTATAAAGTCTTGGTGAATATGAATTCAGAGTGTATTTCTGTAGTAAATGGCACATTAGACCTGGATGTCATTAGAAAGGGAAAAATCATTCTTCTAAGTTTATTTGCAGAGTATTTTTCTAGTCTATAAACATGATTTCTGGCAGCCTATTCTATTTGTCATGGGTTCTTTGGTTTTTTTAAAAAATACAATAACCACTTAACAAATTTTCATGGATGGTCAAATTCTGTTTAATATTTTAGTAAATAGCATCAGTTCCTTTCAAAAGCCATTGCTATAAAGACAAGAAACCCAAATAATTAATATTGAATTTATGGCATTTTTCTTCATGGTAGATTCCTCATTTGAAGTTTATTTCTGGTATCATGCCAAAATTTCAACAAATCTTACTCTTCAGAGAATAGGGAGAGGCGTTTCAGATTAATGTTACTTATTTCATGAATTAGAGAATTCCAGGATGAAATTTATGTATTATACTTGATTGTAAAAGTGAGCCTTTCTTCCCGAAGTGACTGAAGCTCTATTGCAGTGAATAGACAGCAATATAAACTTCATAAAACATACAGTATGATCCAGTTTATCTTTTTATCAGCTGTTCCTTTTTGTTTAAATCAGGTCTCAAGAAAATAATGTAGCATTTAGGGGAAAAGATGCAACACAACAAGCCAGCTGCAGAAGCCAAAATGGAGAAGATCTCCACAGCTACTGTATATTTGCCTTTGGTGCTCAGATAGGTTGGAACAAATGATATCCAGACACTACAAAAGACCAGCATGCTGAAGGTGATGAATTTGGCTTCATTAAAGCTATCAGGTAGCTTCCTAGCAAAAAAAGCTACAGTAAAACTGATAGCAGTCAATAGCCCTAAGAAGCCAAGAACAGTATAAAACATAGTGGTTGAACCTTCATTACATTCAAGGACAATTTCTTCAGGCATTGAGTGCATATCAGAATCAGCAAATGGGGGGGAAATTGTAAGCCACCCAACACAAATCATAATTTGTAGCAGGGAGCAAGCAAGGACAATAGAGATAGCTAGTCTTTTTCCTACCCATTTCCTTATTTGGGATCCTGGCTTGGTGGCCATAAAAGCAAGAACAACAATGGTTGTTTTCCCCAACATACAAGAAAGGGCTACAGAAAAGAAAATGCTAAAGGCAGTTTGTCGCATGAGACATTTCACTTGGTCAGGTTGCCCAATGAAAAGCAAAGTGCAAAGGAAAGAGAGGAGGAGAGCAATGAGAAGAACGTAGGTGAGGTTTCTGTTGTTGGCTTTGACGATGGGTGTGTCCTGGTATTTAATGAAGATCCCCAGCACCATAGCTGAGATGACAGAACAGAAGAAAGCAACACTTGTCAAGGTGATTCCCAAGGGTTCTTTGTAAGACAAAAATATGATCCGTTTCAAAATGCAACGGTTTTGAGCTTTGTTTGGATATTGATTGTCTGAACATTGGGAACAATCACCTGCATCTGTAAAACAAAATGGTTGTGCATCAAGTATAACAATTATATAACCAGAACACTAGATGGACTGAAATGAGTTGATGGGATTTAATTAGTTCCTAAACATTTTATAGCAATTTTATTTATTATGGAATATTTTAAAGAAGGATGAAGAATATATGTGAATGTACTAATGCATACATCTCTGTATTTCTCTATCTCCTCCCACTCTTTATGTATGTGTGCATCTCTCTCACTCTGTGTGTGTATGAGTGTGTGAGAGAGAGAGGGAGGGAGGGAGAGATATTTGTGGTGCTGGTAGTGATATTTATAGTTGTTATTTTTAACCATTTAGTTGTGTCAAACTTTATTCTATTCTTTAGAATAGAATAAAATAGAAAAATAGAGTTGGAAGGGACCTTGGAGGTCTTCTAGTCCAACCACCTGTCTAGGCAGGAAACCCTACACCACTTCAGACAAATGGCTATCCAACGTCTTTAAAACTTCCAATGTTGGAGCATTGCTATCATTTCTCCCCTAGTCCTTCTCTTCATTAAACTAGACATACCCAGTTCCTGCAACTGTTCCTCATATATTTTAGCCTCCAATCCCCTAATCATCTTTGTTGCTCTTCTCTGCACTCTTTCTAGAGTTTCCACATCTTTTTTATAGGCAATTGCTTTTTCATTATAGGCAACTGTTCTCCACACTACCTGTCAAGCATAGCTTCTTTCAATTGTTGTTTGTTCAACTTTGCATCAGATTTGATGTTCTTCTTTGTCTACTAACCATAATCATTGCCTTATTCAATGAATTCACACACATAACATGACAAAAGTAAATCAGATGTAGTCTTGTGATTTTAGCTTCCACTGTTGTGTCTGGTTTTATATGATTTAAGAGCTCTGACATTAATATGTATTGGCCAATAACCAAGTATACTTTTTTCTCATTATCAATGTTGTAACTATTTTATCCTAGATTTTAAAAAATAGCCTTTGGCAAAATCCAGGGCTTCTAGCACCATAGTGTAATAAAGAAAAAAATAGATGTTAACTATTCCAAAGTAAAAGAAAATGATCGTATTCACTAATTTTGGGGATCACTGTATTGACTCTGTGGCTTTTCTCAGTTGCTATATTTTTCATTTTTTTTATTTGAGATGTCATGTTTTCTATTTTATTTATTTTCANTCTCTATCACTTATTTTTAAAGTTTTTTCCCTTGCCTGAACTAGCAAAAAAAAAAAAAAACTTCAAAAAAAGCTTCTGACAAAGTTCGGGGGCATGGCCAGGCCACCATTACTACTGGTCCTATCTGGTACGCCAGATTTTTACCACCTCTTCTGGCACACCTTACCAGGAAGAACCCACCTCTGATTGGGGACAAGATCTAAACTGAGCTAAAGAAAACCTCAGAAAAGAACCATGAATAATCAGGAAGACACAACAACCTGTAACATTTATTTTGCTAAAGAGTAAAGAGTACTTGTTTTCCTTTATTTAAAATTATTTATAAATCGTATTATTTTTCATAATAAAATATTTATATTAAAGTTGATAAATAATTAGAAAATATAAAATATTTGTTTGTTTGTTTAACAATTTATATGAACCCCCTGTGCAATTTCTAAAATTAAAAATCCACAATAACAACAGCACAGCAGTAGCTGCAACAGCAAGAAAAGTCTTTATACTGCCCCCCCTCCACTCCAATATTCTATGGCAGCATTGACACAATAAAACACTCATCTGATCTGGTGGAATTTCCATGTAGAGTAGTACAGAGAGTAAAGAGGAAATCCAGCATTAGAGGTAGGAAGAGAATGAAGCTAGAGTCTTGAACCTTTTATTTGCCTGTTTGCAACAGTGTGCAGTATGCACCCCGCCAACAGAAGTGTGTATAGTCAAGGCTATGGTTTTCCCAATTGCAATGGATGGCTGTGAAAGTTGGACCATAAGGAAGGCTGAACGCCAAAAACTTGAGGCCTTTGAACTATGGTGCTGGAGAAGACTCCTGCGAGTCCCTTGGACTGCGAGGTTATCAAACTGGTTGATCCAATAGTAGATCACCACCCCCAGCTGCTTTTTAGAAGGCCAGATCCTGAAGATGAAACTCAAATACTTTGTCCACCTAATGAGAACAAAGGACTCACTGGAGAAGAGCCTCATGCTGGGAAAGNCATCTATCATCTATCATCTATCATCTATCATCTATCATCTATCATCTATCATCTATCATCTATCATCTATCATCTATCATCTATCATCTATCTATGTACCATCTTTCCCTCCCTCCCTCTCTCTATCATCTATCTAGCTAATCTATTTGCACCACATTTAAGACCAATATTTCTATACATGAAGTCATTGATCAGTTCTTCAGATGGATGCTTTTTAAACTTCATTGATTCAGACATCATGTAGGACTGGGGCATAATGCCAGCAATGATGAGATCTCCTGAATGATAGTATTTATGCTTAATAAGATGAAGCTTGCCCATAGAACATGTTGTGCTCCTAGGAGAAATATGGCAAACAATGTCTGGCAGTAGTGCTGTCATCACAGTCATGAACAGTAACATCTTTAAAAGAAGATATACACCAGGTACCGATTCCTTGTGTACAAACTAAGCAAAAGAAGTCATTGATTAGAACATCCCACATATATTCTTCTTGTCTTGTTGGATCAGAAGCTAGAATGTTCAATGTGAAGAATCACATTGCCAGTTTCATCACTCTATTCCCAACCATGAAGGAAGCAATGGAGTCCCCTTTAATATTAGTTAATTGTTGTTATTTTCTATAGAACTATTCAGGGATTTGAGAAAATGTTCAAGTGATTCACACTCTTGGTAGCTACAGGGGAAATAAACATGATACTTACTGTTATGATCGGAAAAACAAGTAGAAAATAAATGATGACATAAACCTAGGTTTCATTGATCTGTGAAATAGTAAGAAAAAACTTGCTGCAGTAGAATTCGAATTAATTAGAAGTAACATATAGTTTTGAAGTTCTATAGTTGTAAACAAGGAATATCAGTGGGAACGAGGGAGGATTTCAATTTTTTACGACCTATTCTGTGGATGTGGTCTATTTTATGGGCGTGGCTTGGCAGTCATGTGACTGGGTGGGTNTGACTCAGCCTTCCATCCTTCCGAGGTGGGTAAAATGAGGACCCGGATTGTTGGGGGCAATATGCTGACTCTGTAAACTGCTTAGAGAGGGCTGAAATCCCTATGAAGCGGTATATAAGTCTAACCATTATTGCTATTGTACCCCCCTTCCCTGATTTGAATTGTGAGCCGCCCTGAGTCCCCTTCGGGGGAAAAAGGCAGCATATAAATATAATAAAATCAATCAAATAAAATCAATCAATCTATTGCTATTGGAAGTCAAAAGAAAATAAGAATGTCAAATAATGTCATATTTTCAGGGAAACATGGTATTATTGCAACCTGTGGGTAGTGATCCTTTTATTTATTGTGATTGGTCAATGTAATAGCAAGTTGACACTGTTTTATCAACTTACTCTTTGAATCAATTTAATGATTCATATCAAAACAATGCTTTATACTGAATCAAGTCAAGTAGTTGATTAGATATAAATCAAGTTAAATAAATGATTCCAATCACACCTATAATCTAAATAAGATCTAGTCTGACTTTCAAAATACCCACAGTGCAATAGTTGCAATGACACACATTATTGCAAAATTAAATGTAATTCATAAAACTATGAAGATACTAGATTAGGAAGTGGCCTGTATAGCACTATTCCTATATTTCCATTGGCTATGTTCTCATATCAATTGTTCATTTCATCAAAAGAGAAGATCAGTAAGATATATGGTACCTGCCAGGCCTCTTGATTCACAGTCACTAGTCTCTCATTGGCTGCCCTAACTTTATATTTGAATCTGGGCGAAAGAACGGCTCGCAATGCATTTCCCACAGCATAGACTGCATTATAGATGCTGTAACTTTGCCCAGTCATGGTGGTATCAAAGATAGCATTAGGAAGACTCTCCAAATTCTCTTCTCCAGTGCACATTATCTCAATGTCCTTATCCAAACTGGGGAAAGAACACAAAAATGCCTGTTCCCAGAACAATCTTGTTAAATGGTCTTCCTTTTCTGCAGTTGGCTTTCTCGTTTGTACAAAATGTTTGAACCCAGAAATCTCCTTGGAGGACACTGCAAAAGAAATGGCCCCATGGAAGAAATCCATTCCTCGCATTCTTTGAAAGGAAAGGGAGGTGAACTCCATCTGGGCTGTCATTATCCAAACTTTATCTTTCCTCTGGATTGGTATCTCTTCAAAATCTGAAGCATAGGGGAACATTCTGAAAATGACCGTGACCTGGTTTTCACAATGTAAGATCACAACGTTGGAAGTGCCGTTCATGATAACCACGAACATTTTAATCAATTCACGAAATGTAACTAAAATGTCGTCAGAAAATGTCTCCATGGCCAACTGTTCCATGAACTCAAAGCACACCCCTTTCTGGGGAAACGTAGTGACAGCATTCTTTACAAACCTCTCTCCACTCTCGGTACGTTGAAAAACCAGCCCAATCCATTTCCACTTTAAATACAATAGCAGGCTGAGAATCCCTTTAATCTCAATGCTCTGATCTGGGAAAACTTGATGAAAGAAAAGAGCATGTATATTGTCCTCTTTTTGGGGGGCAGGTCCATAGAGGAGCTAGATAAATGAATTAAACAGATGATAGATGTCCAAAATGCAATACTGATGTTTTTCCTAAACATTTATGAGTTTCGGTATTTGAAATTAAACATTATCATATGTCCAGCCCAGAACTGAGGACATCTTTTTTTAATGTATAAAAGCGAACATTATTACAAAGCCATAGTTCTAGATTTAACAAATAAGTTCTTCATTCTTGATGCAGGAAAGATTATAATGAAACTGCATCACACTTGGTAAAATTTTGTTGGGCCTAAATAATGGAATACAAAATTATCTTCTCCTTCATCTGGTTCCCTGCTTATATGCCACAGCATAGAGGAGGTAGATAAATGAATGAAACAGATGAGGGATGTCCAAAATGCAATAGTCATGTTTTTCCTAAATATATGTGAATCACAACATTTCCAATTAAACAACAACATACCTTCTGTCTAGCCCAGAATTTGATACAATTTTTTTTTCCCCAATGCATAAAAGTGGAGATCAAAGATATAGAACTAGACTTAAGAAATAAATTCTAAATTCCTGATACAGGAAATGTTGTAGTGAAAATTGACTACATTTTGAAGTCCTATTTCCCCTGAATAATTGTACACAAATTAGTTCATCGTTCATTTGGGTTCCTGCTTATATGGTCCAGCGAAGGAAGTTAGAAAATCAAAGAATGGCCATATAAAGATCAATGCAACATCATTGTGTTATGTTCAAGTAATTGCTCCTAACTAATAATTTTCTGAATTGCTAAGTCTGGTTTCTAAATCCTTAATAGTCTCAATATTAAAATATAGTGAAAACAAGTTAAGATGGTCCACATTTTTATATCAGTGAAATGTTTATGCCATATGTCAGTGAAATTAAAATGTTTAGTATGGATTTGGATACAAATTTAGGCATTGATCAAAAGCATGCACAAAATAAATAACTAGAAATATCCTTGCCTCTTTATTCATGTTTTGAAATTACAACAATTTCCAAGTCAACTTAATATAAGAGAAAAAATAGTTTCCTTCCTCATTCCCTCCACCCTCCCTCTTTTCTCTTTTAAGTAGAACTTACCTGGGGCATCTTGTAAATATTCAGAATGTTTGACATAAAGGAACAGATGTGAGAGTTAGGTCCTGCAATAACAGATGTTGCCATATCCTTTACATCACACTTATAGTTAGGAATCAATCTGTCCTGTGTGGAGAGAAGCTCAATTGAAGCAAAAGTGGTCCCTCTTGCAGTGAAATAACTATCAGAAATAAGAATCCCCAGAGTTATGTTAGCTAACATGAGGGTCTTTTCATTGATTTCCTTTACAGCAAAAATTAAAGCTAAGACATGGTGGTAATTCTGTAGGAAAAACCTGCAGTGAGATGTTTAAAAAATAAAAACAAAATTCACATATTTTATAAGTCAGCTGAAGACAATGAGCCAAAATAAATGGACAATAGCAAACATACGATATGTTTTTCACAATAGAGAAAAACATACGAAGAGATTTGAACTCAGACCTGATATCTTTACTGTTTGAATACCAAACCAAACCAATCACATCACATCACATCACATCAGTAATTTGCAGCTTATAGATGTGCCAAGATACACAAATATGAAAATGGATGCTATACTTCTGTGGCAAGTGGAATTGAAATGTTTCCAAAGCCATTTCAGGATTTCTCATGAATTTCAGGACAATGAATGGTGGTGTGATGAAGAGGATGGGAAACTCTTTACAAATGGTGCTTAGTTTTAAAACCCTGTTCAGCTATTATAAATAGTTTTCAATAAAGATACATTGGTTAAGAAAAGAAATTTTCACCAATAATATTAAGATATTCAGTTAGTAGACTTAATAGTACTATTTCCTATTATGGAATCATTAAAACCTTAAATGTTGGCTTTCAGCTATTTGCAAAAATGGTCAAATAAAATGCATCATTCATGATCTACAGAAAGAACAATTGGCAAAAAAACATCAACCAAATATGAAATATATAGACCTCTAAATTTAGAAGTAATTAAAATGAAATCACTGTGTTTAACTTTGGTCTCCTACTTGGAAAATGTTGATGTTGTTGAGACCAATGGCAGTGGCCATCTGCATCCATGAAAAAAAAATCTGAATTGATAAGAAATAAAACTGATACCCCTACTGATAATAATAATAATAACATCTGGCAGAGTCTGCAAACAACAACAACAGCAACAACAATAATAATAATGCAGTAATAATGTGGCAATTGGGACAAAGGCTTCCCTTCAGTTCGGTACTCCATTCATTCTTTACTAAAGTTATTATAGTATAACACTTTTTATTAAATACAGAATCTATCTATATCTGTATCTATCTAANAGATAGATAGATAGATAGATAGATAGATAGATAGATAGATAGATAGATATAATAAATAAATGATGAATAGATGGATGGAGCTTGATCCAATTATTTATTTTAAATCATTGATTGATATATGGTTTCCTAGGGAGTGAAAAATGAGACATACCTGGTTAAATATGAGTGGCCAAACAGCATCTTTGGCAGAAATGGTGAGAAGTTTGTCCGGGGAAGCCATAGGGTCTATCTTTCCGACTTGGACTCTCTGAAAGGACTTGTTTGGGAATGTGACCCAATTTAGAATATCAAATCCAGTTACTAATTCCCCATTGGGGCCAAAAGAAACTTCTTCTCCAACACTGTTGTTAAAGAAGATTCGTTGCAGAAAATAGTGAAGCTACAGAAAAGAGAAAAGAAAAGAAAGAAGAGGAAGGATAACAGCATTCCTTAAATGGGATCAGAAAATCTCAGTTTAATCCTTTTGATTTTGACTGTGCTTAACAAAAATAACCTGTTAAATGTTGCTTCAGTCTATGCTATTTAAAACTGGAAGATAAATATGTTGTCTGTCACATGCAATTTTTACTCTGTTGTCCAACAAAAATACTATATTTGAAAATATTTAAAATGAGAATTCCATCACAAAATTGAGGAAGTGAAAAACCCAGCAGGTTGTTTGCTCTCATCAATTGAGTAACCCATTACTGTTTGCATGATCTGATGACTATCCTGAACTCTTCATTGTCCAACATTACCTGCCATGATGATCTCCTCTCATCCATTATTTGAATTTCTTTGAGTTTGGAGGAGTGCATGGCCCTCAGAGCATGTGCCACAGCATAGACTGCATTGTAGACGCTGTAACTATGTCCATTCATGGTGGTATCAAAGACAGAATTAGGAAGAATCTCCAGCTTCTCTTCTCCAGTGCAAACGCTTTCAGCATTCTCATCTGTAACATCACTGGAGAATGAGCATTCAAATACATCTTTCCAGAAATCCCTAATGAAGCCATCTTCTTTGTCAATGTTTGGGTTTCTCTCCTGCATAAATTGTTGGAATCTAGTCAACTCTTTTGAGTGAATTGCAAATGAAAGAGCACCATGGAGAAAATCAATGGGCAATTGTCTTTGCATCTGGATGGCAGTGAATTCCATCTGGCCTGTCATGATCCAAATTTTGGATTTTTTCTCCTTGGGAATATCCTCAGAATCTAATAAATAGATCATTATTCTCAAAGTCATGATGGTCCAAATTTCACCTTTCAAGATTACAGCACTGACAGTACTCCCCATGATGACTTGATATACTTTATCTGTCTCTTCAATCATTTCAGCAGCTTCATTACCATACTTCATTTGGTTGATACATTCCAAAAAGTCAAAGCAGATTCCTTTCTCAGAAAACTTGGGAATCCATTTTTGAATGAACCTCTGTTTACTCTCCTCATCCATTGAAACTATCCCAACCCAGGTCCATCCAAACTGTAATAGTAAGTGTAATATTCCATTAAACTGATGGACCTCATTTGGAAACATCCAACTGAAAAAACCCGCATCTGCTTCATTATTCATTATGGGAGCTGATCCATATGTGATCTAAATACAGGAGGGGGATAATAGATTTCATCAAAGAAATAATTCCAATATGAAATAATATAATAATCCAAAGTTGGAGCTTAGAACTATCTGGTCAGCTTTAAAGAACAGTAGAGGTGATCATTTCCTTGTGATAAATTGATCAACTTCTTTGCTCAAGATTTCAAGCATTTGAATTATTTCTGAGAAAAATGCATTTGAGGCCCTTTGAGATTGTAAGTGAGCAGAAGATGGAGTGATGCACAACAGAGGAGAAATAATGGAGAAAAGGCAGAAAAGAACCAATCATTGAAGACCTGTTGAAGGAAGTAGGAGGCATAATACAAAAATAACTGCATTATTTAATAAATCTTTCCAAAACTCTTCAGAAGAAGATGAATTATACTACTTTACTTCTATTATGCTACTTTCTGAAATGACATCTGAAATCAATATATGAAAATGCCATCAGGAATAAATTCTGTAGTCTGTATTCTTTGGCTTGATGAAATAAATAATAATTTCTCCTCTTTTAATCCATATTTGTATCTCACCTGTGGAAACTTATAGTTGTTCAATATAATTGCCATGTTGAGGCAGGTCTTTCTCTGTGGTCCTCCTATCACAGCTACTGCACTGTTCTGGATATCACACTTGTAGTTTGGGATAAATCTGTCTCTTGTGGAGAGAAGTTCCATTGCTAAAAGATATGTTGTACTTTCCAGAGAATTGTCAGTGGTGATATGGAAACCAAGGGTAATGTTGGGTAAGATCCCAGAATGTTCATTGATCTCTTTTACAGCAAATGCCAGAGCCAAAGTGTGTTGGTAATTGTGAGTGAGGAACCTTCAGTGAGAGTAATAAAACACATTGGTATATGTCTATGGAGATTCTCAATCATCCAGTTGCCCCAAAGGTGCTTTTTTTTTTTTAAGAAGAAGCTTCTTAGATAAGAAGTGAGATGTCTTCAAAGAAAAACCAGAAAGTCCAGTTGCCTCTTGAAAAGAAAAAGTATCTTTGGGACAGCAATTCAATTTTCTTGCTTTACACCATATAGAGTACAGAATAACAGCATTGGAAGGTGCCTTGGAGGTTTTCTAGTCCAATCCCCTGCTCAGACAGAAAACACTATACCATTTCAGATAAATGGTTGTTCAATCTCTTCATTAAAAACTTCCATTGTTTTTATGTTGGAGCATTCACAACTTCTGGAGGCAATTTGTTTCACTGCTTAATTGTTCTAACTATCAGAAAATTTCTCCTTAGTTCTAGATTGTTTCTCTCCTTGATTAGTTTCCATCCATTGCTTCTTGTCCTACTTTCAGCTGCTTTAAGAGCCGAGATGGTGCAGTGGTTAGAGTGCAGNTATTTATAAATTGTTGGAATGATAAAATTTGATCAAAAGAGTAAAGAAGAAACACTGAGAAGAATGACATAATCTGAATGCTTCTATCAATTAGTTTTATTTCTCGCCAAAAGGCTCTAAAGCAAGTTACAGACAATTTAAACCTGGTATAGGATAAAACAATTCAACAACTAAAATATTTAATAAATATTACATAATAGATTATTTGTTAAAAGATGTGTTTTTAAAAGCCATATTTAAAAATCTAGCTGTGCAATTGTAATCTTTGGGTTTTCATTTGCAAGTAAAATTTATATACTCAAAAGTATCTCTTCCTCATTTAGATATTAAAATTGGCCAGATAACATCCTATCAAAGACTGTTATAAAATTTGCAATACCCTCTATTTCTTTAAAATATTTATGAAGTAGAACCAATAAATAATCGACAAATGACCATTTGTGAACTGCTCAGAGTTGAGTAGGAGTTGAGTGGCTTATAAACACAATATATTATTAATATTGATATTGTTGATATTGGCTGATGGTGGCTCAGTGGCTAAGACACTGAGCTTGTCAATCACAAAAATCAGCAGTGCGGTGGTTCGAATCTCGAGTGCCATATAACGGAGTGAGCTCCAATTACTTGTCCAAGCTTCTGCCAACCTAGCAGTTTGAAAGCATGTGTGGGAAGGTAACAGTGTTCCATGTGCCTTTGGCATTTAGTCATGTCAGCCAAATATCTACGAAGACATATTTGGCTCTTCTGCTTTGAAATGGAGATGAGCACCATCTCCTAGAGTCAACAACAACTAGCACATATGTACAAGGGGAACTTTTACCTTTATTGTTGATATTGCATGAAAAGATGGATGTAAATCTTTAAAGAACCAAACATTAATAGTGTATGTTCACAACAGATGTTTAATCAAATTCAAGCAACAATGCTTCCTGTTGTGGCCCAGGAAGAGTCATTGGAGCTGCCACCAGACTCCGACAGCGAGGAGCCCTATGAGTCGGCTCTGGAGGATATGGAGGACCCTGGACAGGGTTCTGATTCTGAGCAGGGCACAGAGAGGCTGGTTGGCCACCAGGAGGCACTTGAGACTTGGACCAGTGGGTAGGAGACAAGGGAGAGTGATCCAGAAGCCAGTAGTGAGTTGTTCCTGGATGCACGGCATTAAAGAGCTAATACGCATCAGGAACCGTTGCGCAGTTACAGGAGGTAATTGCATTCAGCTGGTGGT